CACACACCCTCACACACAGCACTCTCTCTCACCAGCCTTCTGATGACCATCAACTGCCGCTCATCAGCTTATCAATCAGCCCTGCATTAAAGCACGCATGACTCTTCTCTCCTCGTTTGAACTTGAACTTTTACCTGCTATACTCACCATTGTGGATAGCCTGTAAGCAGTCATTGTCTCCAGCGATGTCCCTTGTTGACTCCACTTTGTTAAACACCTGCAAACCTGTGTGTATCATACCGTCATTACCTGGATACTTACCTGTGTTTGCAGTGATGTGTGCTTTCTGCCATCTTCCCAATGTGTGCACTCCACTTCCCCTGTGAAAGAAAAGGGCATTTATTATTACTCCTTAACCATTTCAATTAATAATCATTGCAATACTTACCTTTTTCTCCAACTGCTCAGTAAACACCTGTCTTGATTCGGTATCCTCTGTTTCAGTCTAGTTTATGTCCTGATGTGTGAAACAGATTTAACAGATTTAACATTTGAATGGCTAAACTATTCATTTACCAGTTAATTACAGAGATGAAGTTTGCCAATAAAACCAATAAAACAATAGCATTTAAACAAATAATAATTTTCCTCTTTTTTTACCTCTGTTACCTCAGACAGTGTAACAGGATGAAAAGGCAGGGAGATATTCAGTATTTTTTTGCAAAGAAAAAGCCATGCCAGCCAGTGAGGGAGAGTCAGTCTGATGGTTTACACGCAGTGATTTCAGAGCCTGGCTGAGACATCTTGGACATCTTGGTTCAGGAAGATGCGAGTGTAGGTCAGAACAGCCCCGTACACACCCTCAACAGACCAGCTACCAGCTAGAAAGTGGACAGTGACATGAGTTTGGGTATATTCAGGGCGACACATTTGCTTTAATCAGAGAAGTCCCTATATTGATATACTGGTACTAATTTCAGTATCGTACAGAAAAAGTGCACTCCTGAGTGCTATTCTAAAACTATGAATGCATAAATCCAAATCACACTAAACAAATATCATGATCTGTGGTTAAAAACCATGTATTTTACTAATATGCCTCTGTATTATAGCTGTCTCTAGGGATGAAACAGATGACAGTGACAGTGATGTGGAAGAGATGGATACTCATCACCCACCTTCAGAAGCGGAGTCTGAGGTTCCACTCACATCTGACACTGCTCCAACTGGACCTGATGGTATGTCTTTTTCATTTTACATGTAAAATAGGCAATAGTTACAAAGCTCCCTATATCCTTGCACTCTCCTCGCTGTCACAGTTGTCTGGTCTCACAGTTGGCTATGCTTACTTACCTGGTTTCTACCTGTTTCCAAGCTCCCCCGATGACCTGCTGCTCAGCTCCTACACTCCTTTGTTCCCCGTGCTCCGCTGTTCTCCTAGGATTCCCTGGAAAAGGACTCATTACTCCTCACAGATAAGAACCCAGAACCCTTGCCATTCCCCTAATACTCACCTGGATCAGTTGTCTTGCTTACATCTGCCTGCTCGGTTAATAAACCTGCTGTTGTGTGCACTTACCTCCGTATACCTTTGTGTATTTGCTGACACATTTATAAGTGAACTATAATTGTCCATGAAGGCTGGAAGTGAAAAACTTATATTCAGATGTGCATAATTATTAGGTATGTTTTCTTTTACAGATAAAATGAGCCAAAAAAATTGTATAAATAAAAAATTATTAAATGCCCATGAGAAGGATGCAATACTAGAATTTGCAAAGTTAAGGCATGACCATTGGACAGCTATAAAGTTTATATAACTTAATGTTGAGTTTTATTATTTTTGTGAGTTGCACTCTATTCATAGATTGGATTCTTTTATTACAGTTTTTCACTTCTTAAACGTGAAAAGTTCATACAAATTGTATTTGACTGTTCTGATTTACAGCAGTGAATAAATGCTATTAATTGATAAGGTATCTCTGTTTATTGCTGATTTTAAAGCTTACTGAACTTTAAATGATTCAGATATCTACAGTTCTACATATAAATACACAATATAAGATTGGCCCCTCTGTATTAGTTGTGGCCCCTCTTGTGCCCCCCAGTTGAAAAAATCCTAGAATCGCCCCTGCATAGTAGGTCAGTCAAAATGACAGGAAATTACAGTACTACACTGTAAAAATAAAAAGTTGAGAAAACTTAAAAGTTTAAGGTAACCAGCTTCAGCAGATTTTTGAGTTTTCTCAACTTTTTGTTGTATAAACTGAAAACAACAAGTTGAGAAAACTCAAAAATCTGCTGAAGCTGGTTGCCTTAAACTTAAGTTTTCTCAACTTTTTATTTTTTACAGTGTAGGGTGTTGCCATGGAGTTGCTAAAGTGTTCAGAGTGGTTTCTAGGGTGTTTCTGTGTAGATAAGTGTTCAGAGTGGTTGCTAGGGTGTTGCTGGGCAGTAAATCATGATGACAGGAAAAAAGTGAAGAGGAAAGATATAGGGAACCATAAAAAGAGGGTAGAGGAACAGAGATGAGACCATTTTGATGAGAGAAGTACTGATCAAATAAATATTCAGTTTTGCGATGTTTGCGTGATCTGATTATGGTTTGAATGGAATTTCCCCCAGCACACTGCATTTTGTATTACTGTTCATATTTTTTATAAAACCACACACAGTTGGTGCACTTAAAAACAACAAACCCTGACTTGTGAGAGAAACAAACAGCAGGAATGTGAGTGTGAGTGGCATCTGTGAAGGCATGTGATGCCCTGCGTAGCGCCTGCTGCCAGCACTGGATTCATCTATTGAAATATGTGTCTGTGTGCCAAGACCCTGTGCTTGCCAGGAGACTGGATTTATTTTTTTTACAGCCCTGTCCGTTCTGCCGATTGTAATTTTATTTCCAAATAAAAAAAGGAAAAATAAATCTAGCTTTGTCTTTGTAATTAAACAACATATTTTTACAGTTTAATGTCATTTTGGATAATTTAACTACCTTTTACAAAATAGCCAATTTGCATACAGTAGCATCTTCCCTGTAATAAAGACTCAGTATTTGACTCAGCTGCAAGATTAATGGTTCTGATTACCTATATACCACCTTTAAGTATTACATTATAAATAAATTATACATATAATAATCACATATTATAGTAATACTAATTATAGTGATATTAATATACTAATATATAATATATATATATATATATATATATAAGTTTTATTTTTTCTCTAATAAAATGAAACCAATAAGAATAATATATTGTCAGTGTATTATATATGTACTGCTGTGCCCTTTGGAAAATGTTCGGGCCAAAAGTGGAAGCTATTAATAATGTTATAGGGTACAGAGAGGGAGCAGTTGTTGTTGGGCTCTATATATCTTGTCTCAGGTCAGACTGGAGTCAGCAAGCCCACCCTCTGAGCTCAGAATCGGACTTGCGCTGGTCCATGCCATGCTGCTAAGAAACTTTACCCTGCAGATGCAGTTAATCATAGTGAAGGTTTAATTGGAGATAACCAGCCAAAAAAAGAACCTGTTTTCAACCACTAAATCCTGAATATTGCTGAGGTCCCATGACTGTCCTGTAAGAGAAAAGTGATTACTCAAATGCTGAGAACTTCTCTTGTTGCTATATTTATATTGTTTCTTTTGAATAAATCATTCTGCTAGGGAGTGGTTTTGGCACAGAACCACACGTTCTAATGTTAAAAATAAAGTACATTTCTAGTTCACTTGCATTTGTTTGGCTTAACCTTCTTGACTGTCTCCAAGTAAATATAAGCTCAACCATGTTACCCATCATTCATTTTTAATGAATAGTAAATGTTAGTTGGTAACACTTTACAATAAGTTTCTTTAATCAATAATTTATCATGAACTAACAATTTTACAGCGTTTTTCATAATATATTAAGACCATAGATGCTGTAAATGTATTATTGATTGTTATTATTTTGTTATTGCATTAACTATTGTTAACATATATAGTTAGTTTAATTTAAATTCTGTTGTAATTTAGATTTTTATTTCATGTTTATTGCCAAAACTATATTTAGACTTTATTTAGATGTCCAAAATTTGCAAACCATATAAAATGAGGCCTTTTCAGGCCTTATTTTGCACCATATTTGTGGAAAGCATCAGATGCATACTTGTTTGGAGTATGTAGTAAAGCTTTCATGATTTAAGCTCTCTTGAGTTGCACTTTGCTGGCTGCAATAACAGTTTCACTTTCTTCTGAGAAGGATCTTTTCTTTCCCTTCAATAATTCAGCTCCATTCCACACCACAAAAGCTGCGGCGGCCAGACACAGAACCAAAGCTGATTGGAAATGATGAAAAACAGGTTGTTCATTTGGCAAATGAGAATATCTTTTCTTGAACCATGTTTCATTAATTTTGAATGTAATGAAATGCTACATGCCAGAATAATAAATCAAAAAATGTATACACAATTTTAGCAAGGAGGAAAGGAAGGCAGCTCAGAAATGTGCTAGATATGCTCAGAATACCTTAGCAACCACACATGGGCAAGCACCATGCACAATATTCATTTGGAAATGTAGAAATCTAGTTGATAAATATTGCATACTGGACTAGCTGATGCTTTGGCTCACATACTCATCTTGGAGAGCGATGTTGGAAATGGTTGGGCTGGTAATCAGGATTAATTGATTCTCTGGGGTTTCTGAGAAGCAGGGAAGTCCTCCCACCATGTCATTGCTGTTTATGATTTATTCATTACTTTTGAGGAGCTGTGTCATGCTGCAATCTGAGGCACATTTCAAAATGTTTGAATTAGTAGCTCAGCTGCTACTGACCTCAATTACCTGACCTGAGGGGCCAGAATATTTAGATGATATGAGTCACAAAGGTACTTTCATATCTGAAAACCAATAAAAACTACAAAAATACATTAAAGAATGTTTTGCTTCTAGCATCTTACTTTATTACCAGCGGTAGAGTTACCGCACGACTTCCTCCTGTTACAAAAACATTTTTAAAAACTGTGACACGGAAGAAATAACATCCTTTGGACTCTGTGTACAGTAGGACAAGCAAATCTCTTTTTTCCCCACAGTTTTTACACAAATTATACATTGCTTTCCCAAGCTCAGCCATTCAACCCTTTTAGCCATATTTTATTTTATTTTATTTTATTTTATTTTATTTATTTATTTATTTATTTATTTATTTATTTATTTATTTATTTATTTATTATTTTATTTTATTTTATTTTATTTTATTTTTTATTTTACACAGTTGTATTCCCTGAAAACTTAGAAGACATAAAATGCAAATTTTTAAAACATGAATCCAGTTTAAAAATATCCAAGGATTTGCATAGAGGTCGAAGAAGGCAGTGACACCTCAAAATTGAATTACCCTCAAAATCTGAGATCTTTCTTTCAGACTTTGACACCTGAGGGGGTTTTTTTTCCCACAAGAGAATATTTCATTAAAATTCATGATGTTGCTGTATATGATGGGGTAGCCAGCTTAGATCTCATCAGACAGATGAGTCTCTGTGTGTTTCCATGATGCTCAGATACATGTCCTCGCAGGAAGAGCATGTTGCATCTCATTTGATCACAATTCTTTAATTTATTTTTAAACATAGTGTTTGAAATTGACAAAATTGCTCATTTCTTACTACTCATCTGTTTCATCTGATTTTCTAAAACCTACTGATAATTGCTTACTGTATATTCGGCTGTATGTAAAGGACGTTCATACTGACAGCTATTTGTAGTGACAAAGCAGCTGAAAGTCATTCATTTATAATGATGCATGGGTAACCGTGTCAGGAATCATCTGCAATTTCAGTGAGTTTATTCATACATTCATAATAGTTTTATAGACATTCAATACAATACATTCAAACACCTTCTCATCTAAAATGTTTTAGCAGTAATAAAACTACCGTATTTGTTGTCAAAATATAATGACATTTTAGTTTTTAGCAATGTATACCATTTCTGATTTTGTTTTGGCTGTTGTAACCTCCTAAGCTTTGAGGAGGAACTTGGCCTATTCTTATTTTTGTTTTCATTCTTTTGGCTTTTGACATCATTTAGTGGCATAAAAGAGAGATACAGTACATGACTCTGCGGTGGGATTTAACACATCTAGTGAATTACAATTAGCAGTGAACTTAGCGCTGCCCTGTGTCAAGATCTGGACAGGTATGTGTGACCCACTGTGCCTGAGAAGAATGTTTAAGAATATTTAGGCAAAAAGACTGATCATTTACTTATGGGCAAGCCCGGAAAGACTCAGTATAATTTTGGGGGATTTTCTACTAATTTTGAAGGGAAATCTACTAAATGAATTGAAATATGTTGAATGGAGCTGAGAGTAGAGGAGACTGAGGGCAATTACGTCCTTCCTTCGATTATTCCTTCATTATTTCCTTTGTTATAATTTTCATAATTTACTCACACAATATTACAAATCTAACGGCCATTTCTTGGTATAAGAAATAAACAAGAGCATAGCAGACATTATTTCATCAAGACTAAGACTAAGCCTTTGTCAGCTGTTATTTAATTATTATGATTTTTTTTTTATTAAAAAAAAAAAATATATATATATATATATATATATCAAAAATGTATTTTAACATTTAACATATATACATATGTTGGATATACCTGTATTCAAATTTATGAATGAAGGGCCAATTCAAATTATGTGCTAAATTGTAAAGCATATTCTCTCTGTGCCTTATTATTATAAGTGATTGAACCTGTGGAGTATGAATTCGCTGGAGTTTTTAGCTCATAAAGTAATTATGTTGTTCACATGTTTGGATAAATTGTTAACTGATGAGCTAAACTGAATATTTAGCTGTTAGGGCACATTCTGATTTGGACAAAGGTGTTCATGTCCATTATTAAAATATGATATTGCCTCCTTGTGTGATAAATGAGCTGCATTACATTCTCAGTGAGGTTCACACTGTGTAACTGCTGAAATATTGCCTCGTTACCTGGTTTTAACAACCTACTGCGATATTACGTACCAATCATGACAAATGACTTCTTTATGTCTGCAGCTTCCTTGCTCTGTTGTTGTGCTAATCTAGTCGGGACGTGATAGAAATGACTCATTCAGTAGCTCAGTGTAACTGTGAA